ATTCAAGAACTATTTTAGAGAGCTCTGCACAACAAGAAGTTCAAGTTTTATTTATTTATTTATTTATTTATTTGTGGTACATGAGGTGGAATGAAATTGTGTACACAGGGTCCCAGTTACATCCAACAATAGCAAAAATATAAATTGTAAAAATAAACAGTAAATAAGGATCTAAGATACTGTATAAACTAAGAAATATGCTAAACACTAATAGTTCAAAACAATATGCCGAACAACAGCAGCACGAACATGAGTGTGTGAGAGCAGATGAGAATGGGTGAATACAGCAGCATGAAATAATCAGCAGCATGAGATCAGCAGCATGGATAATCAGCAGCACATATCACCAATCAAAGTGTCGTTGCAGTGATTTTTTTTTTTCATGGTATTATCCTGATTAGATATTCATGAGTATAACAGCTTCAAACACTGCATGCAGAACCAGGAAAACCTGGAGTGGACTTTTAGTAGTGTGAGTATTATTCTATTAATGAAGTAGAATGGATTTGTTCATGAAGAAATATAAACAGCACTGGGTGAACTAATATTTCTTGGTAAATGTGTGTTTGTTTGTGTGTGTGTGTGTGTGTGTGTGTGTGTGTGTGCGTGTGTGTGCGTGTTTGCGTGCGTGCGTGTGTCCCCTTCACATGTAATTGATGCAACACCTATGGTCAGGTTGCAGATTGGTTGTTGTCTTGATTAAACAAAGCCTTTTTTTTCTCATGGTAAATTTGACAAAGTTGATTTTGATCATTTCAGTCCAGCATCATTTGAAAAATGCATGCAGTAATCCTCACCCTATCTTTGCTGTGAGAGACAATATTTTTGTGCCATAAATTTTATAACTTAGAAAATCATAATTGATTTTGCCAAGTTGCATTTTCTTTCTTTCCTTTTCATCCTACCGTACTTTCTTTACTGTGGTCCGTTTAAAATATTTCACAGTAAATATTGATTCAGAACTTCCACACCTTTATCTCTCAGATTAATAAGGCTCTGTGTCAAAATGAAAAATGGAAAAGGAGGAAAAGAATGTCAGAATCGAGGTGTTCCACACATGCAGTGAAGGGGTGAGGCAGAGAGGGGGAAAAGGTCTGCAGGGATTGGACAATATATTTAGAGCAGCTGTCCTGTATCAGATAAATGGCGCTCTGCAGTCAGTTCTTCTGACTTGGCAGTTGCTAAAAAGTTCCATTTGCTTCCTTGAGGGAAAACTGTGATTTAAAATCATTACAAGGAAAGTCAGGGCATGAACTGACAGACCTTTCATGATTAGAGACTATCAGAAACTGGCTCTGTTTAAGAGCTGCAGTCTCACAGCAACAGAGGACTTGCAGGCGTGTAATCCTATGTCCTCCGACAGAATTTAACTCTAAACTCAGCTCCTTTTAGGCCACTTTGTATTGATTGCCCAGATAGGCTTTACATAATTCCACCTTTAATAAGGTGTATTGTTGATTTCCTCAAGAACTGCTTCAACAGGCACAAGAAATACTGTGACATAGAGCTAGTGGCATTTAAGAAAAAAAATGCATTTTTGTGCCACTTTCGAGTTCTGAAACACCTCAAGCTAGCATTACCATGCAGTTCAAATCCTATCAAATGTGTGATTATGCTCCATTTAAGGGGAAAAAAATAAAAGAGATGGGTGTTTTCCAAGGGCCAGGGGAGAAGAAAGGCATGGGTACAAAATGCTAACGTGTGGAACTTTACTTGGCTGCAGGTTTCAGCTGAAAACAGCGAGTGGAGAAAGGCTGCTGTGGAGGTGTGAAATTGTGCTGGTGGGCACCAAATAAGACCAAATAGCCAGTGGGGAGCAGACCCAGTTAATCCGAAGCATCCAGACACATGAACCGACTCACAGCTGAGCAATATAAACACCCGCACTGCCACAGCAGCTGCCCAACAGATTACCAGCCCACAACCAAGGTAAAATTATGGGTAACAGGTTGATAATAACAATAGGTTGAGGCCCTGTCCACCCAGAAATGTTTACAGAGAACAATCTCTTTGTTTTCATTCCTAAAAAAATACCTCATACATTATAAAGGTAGTATCTCCATCAGGTTCTGTGTGTTTTGTTCTTCTTGTGGTTCTTGTATTGAGTTTTTCGTGAAGTAAATACATTTCTTTCGGCTGCTCCCACAGTGAGCGAACTCGAATGAAAGATCTGGCAATTTTTTTTTTTTTTTCCTGATGCCTTTCCTGACACAACCTGGCTTCAAACTGCAACCTCAGGATTTCAAGACTGTGGCACTGACCACCAAGCTACTGCAGCCCCATATGTAGGTTTTCTGTGATTTTGATTTAACTTGTTTCCAGCTTCCCCGTGTTTTCCCCCCATGTAGCCCTGCTCCCACCCCTCCCACTCTCGCCAGTTCCTCATCTGTCTTCCTCAAGTGTTCCTCATTGCCTGTCATTAGAGTCTATTTATAACTTTTCATTGTGTCACTCTCTTGTCCATGCATTGTACTTCTTACAGCCGATCTTACTTTACTCCTTTATGTATTCCCTGATCTGGTTTTTTTTTGTAAGTTTTGCTGCCACACGGCTTTTTTATTTATTTATTTTTTTTAATGAAGCACTTTCTTATTGTACCTTTGAGTTCTTTTGTCCTTCTGTCTGCACCCTGGGTTCAACCCCCACTAGACATGACAGCATGCATGGACCAAAGAGAACCCAGCAGACAAATCATCCTATTTGAATTTCTGGCTTAAGAGGAAGCCAAAACTGTTCAGCAAGGATGAAAGGAGAGCGAGGACTGAGGTGCAAGATCTGCAGTCCATCATCCATTGGAGTGGGCTTCAGATGAGAAGGTCCAGACATGCCTGGAGATGGAAACACAGGAGACCGGAGGTGGAGATACTCCCATTGCCTATTTTTGTGGAAGAAAGGAAAGGAAGAGGTGGTCTCAGTTATGGGGAACCCACCTGGATTTTAAACCTATTTCCTCCTCTCCGCCACTTTGCTCACCTCTGGTGCCTCGCGGCTCATCAGCAACTCACCACCTTCCTCAGTCCTGCTCGCCTTAACAGTTCCCTGAGAGGCCAGCAGCAGAGATTCCAAGGCCCTACTCTCATGAGCCCCGGTCGGCCTCTCTTCCTGGGTCACATCACCGCCGCTACCGCGATAATGAAGTTCAGCTACCAGTCTCTATAGCCTGCACGGTCACATCAGCTCCTGAATTCCTCATGTCTGACGCCCCACCTCTGTGTGTCTCCATGGGGGTCAGCTAGGTCATCCCACCTCTGTGTGTCTCTGTGAGGGGCAGCCATGATGCTCCACCTCCTTGTGTTTATATGGGGGTCAGTGACAATGCCTCATCTGCCCCAGTTCCAGCAACTGCTACGGCTCAGAGCCTCAAGCCTCTGGTGGGCTCTAAGCTTTTGGTGAGCCCAAGCCTCTCGTGGGGTCCAAGCCTCTAGCTACTACCTTTCCTGGTTCCTCACCTGCTGCCACATCTTACTCCTCTGTTGTCTCATTGTCTGCTGCTGCAGTCTTCTCTGGTTCATCGTCTGATATAGCTCCCTCCTTTGTGGCCCCATTCATGGCTGCAGATCCTGTGGCAGAAATCTACAAGGATCCCTCTTCTGCAGCCTCTTTGAGTTTCTATATTGTAGCCTCCATGGTTTTCACTTCTGCAACCTCTGTGGGTTCCTCTGCTGCAGCCTCCGTGGGATTCTCAGCAGCAGCACCTTCTGACACATAGCCTTCTGCATCCTCAACGTCTGCTGCAGCACCTACTCATTCTTCATTTGCTTCTGCAGCAAACTCTGGTTCATCATCATCTACTGCAGCCACCCCTGGTTCATCTCCTGCTGTAGACTCTGTGGTATCAGCGCCTGTTGCAACCTCTGAGGCCCCATTGCCTGCTACAGCCATTCTCTTTCCACTGTCTCTGAGAGTGTCCAGGAGGATACCTGACCCACCTTGTTCAATCTCTGTCTCTCTGACACCCACATGTCCACATCTGTGCAGATGAAAGATGGAGAAAAACCCACTGAAATATTTGTGTGTTATGATGATGTTATAAAAGTAAACAGAAGACCATGATCTGGTTCATTCTGTGACTTAGTATGTATGGGTGTATGTACTCTGTCCTTATGCACACTTGCAAGTATAATGCCGGTTAAAAATCTTCACCTGCCGTGAGTCTGTGGTTCTTTATCTGAGTAAACAATGTTAGCAAATTAGATTCACCCCCCCCCCCCCCCATTTGCTTTTTTTTATTATCATTGACAAAGACTGTCCGTGAAGTGATAAAAACCTATTTGGCATCAGATTATTTGGTGTAAAGAGAAGGAGTTTTTGCTCTTATCTATTTAAGACAGTATTATCCATCTCCCTTAATGGTTCACTGCAGTAATATGGACTATGAAGGTTTTGCTTTATTTAATAACTGGCATCTGCAGCACAAATGCAAATATATAATCTGCTAATATTGTTGATGTGTCATAGGTTACATTAGAGTCTACACAAAAATGCATGGGTGGCAATTCAACAATTTTTCACTCTGAAACCCTTAAAAACATACATTTTAGTACTCCGAAATCATTTTCTGTGTTGACGTAAGGCTGAAACAATAATAATAATAAAAATAAAAAAATAAAAAAATAACTGTGTATTCATAAATAATTCGTATGTGGACAGGACCTGGGTTGGAGCACTTGTGACCTTCTTGAGAGATCCTATGAACAAGAGAAGTAAGCTCAAGGTTAATATGTGTGAGAATGTGAATCATAGATGAAAGCAGGGATCCCGGCACATAGAGAATACATAGTTCCCATAGTTCTTCTTATGCAGATAAGGAGCAGTGAATGGAAAACAATATTAAATTGAAAAGAACAGCGACAGCAGGAGGAAGAGTGGGGAGGATTTAGAAACAAAGGAACTTTAGCAGGAAAAGGAAAGATAATAAGCAGCAGCGTGAGGAACAAAAAAACTGTTAAGGCAAGCAGGTATGTGAAAAAACAGCGGCCAGCTCAGAAGCGTTACTGTACCTCCGTAATGGGGTGGCGGGCCACAGAGAAGAACCACAGCTTGACCTTCTCTCACTAACACTGTATTCCTTGGTTTCTTGCTGAAGTTCTGTAAAACTAACAGAAACAAGTTTCACAATTTGAATATTTTTCAAACTTAAAATGATAAATACTTCTCTATGTTTATAATGTTTACAAGTAAACTTGAAATTCCTGTTGTCTGTATTACAGCACTTGTAAAACACTGAGCAAAGGATACACAAGCCAAGCTTGAGGGACTACTTTCACCTTTAATTAAAGGCTGCTCTGAGGCCCATGAGAATAAATATTGGGGAGACATATCAATCTTAAAGTCATAGAAATACCAGCTGGTCTCAGGAGGGGTCAAGCAAATATCAGCTGTGGTTAAATCAGACCTCAGCTTATTAAATGTTTGTCCCAAATGAAGACATGCAGTCCTCATTCATCATTTTGTGTATTCCCTTGGTTTTAGTAGGATGAGAGGACATAATTGGTTTACTCTGAGGGTAAAAGTTAGAAAGAAAAATTGAGCCACTTAAAATAAAGTCAATTTGCGGTGTATCTTTTCAAAACTACGAAGATGGACATGTTAGTGATAAAAGTACAACAAATGAACAATACCATAAAAATGTTACTTAAAAGTAAACAACGACCTGACAGAGGCCCTGAACACTGCATCATCCTTCGGTTGATTATCAACTGAATGGATAGTTTAAAACTCATTATTTGTTAAAAAAAAAAAAATTTTTAAAGTGCCTTTTTTTTCTCTGCCAATCTGTGCTATGGGAAATGTGACAGGAGACAGACAGGTGGAAAGTCAAGCATTTTGGATTGACGGCAGCAACTCTAAATGTAGGCACGACAGGCAAAGGTACAGAATTGGCTGACAAGATGCAGAGAAGGAAGGTAGATGTTTCATGCGTCTAAGAGAACAAGTGCAAGGGCAGCAAGGCTTGCAGAATTGGAGTGACATTTAAATTGTTTTACCATGGTGTCGATAAAAAGAGAGATGGAGTAAGGGTGGCACTGACAATGAAGTTAGTAAATAATGTAGATTAGGTTAAAAGAGTGTTACAGAGAGTGATGAGACTGAAGATAGAAGTTGCTGAATATCCTGATGCATGCTCAATAATCCAGATAGAAAAATCTAAAAAAGTTCAATTTGGTCCTCTGGACATTCAAAAAACAACAACAACAACACACAAAAAAAACGTAGAAACGTTTCGTCTTTCGTCCGAAAGCCGTCCTCAGTCTGAGGTGCCGTATTCAGCTCAGTCTTATAAATAGCACCTTCTCAGAGTGGATCAACCTATTTTGCTGCTGACAACCAAAACCAGCTGCTCACATGATCAAGAAGGACCATCAGCCTAACGATGGATCATTAGCACCCTGATAGCTGTTTACTATTCACAGGAGGCTGAGTGATACTAGCAATGACATCATTGTAAGAGGGGGAAAATTGAACACGGAGGCCTCCACCCCTGTTTAATGATGGACAATTTCTTTTCACAAAGATGGCCTCCTTTACTCCTCTCTCAAATCATCGTTCCTCTCTATCCAGGATGTGAACATCTTCATCCCTGAAAGAGTGACCACTGGTCTGGAGATGAGTGTAGACCGCAGAGTCCTGGACTGATGTTGTTGCTCTTCTGTGCTGGGCCATCCTTTTGGCCAGTGGCTGTTTAGTTTCCCTGATGTAAGACTGATCACAGCCATCCTGACACTGAACAGCATACACAATATTACTCTGTTTGTGCCGAGGGACTGGATCTTTGGGATGAACCAGTCTTTGCCGTAAAGTATTTTGGGGTTTAAAAGCCACTGGGATGTTGTGTTTAGAAAATAAACATCTCAGTTTCTTTGATACTCCCTCCACATACAGAATGACCACTGGTCTGGGTTCCTCCTTTTCACCTGATGGCTGACTGGAGTCCTGTTTGGGTTTCTTCTCTGCTTTCAGGAAAGCCCAGTTAGGATATCCACATTGCTCTAGAGCCTGTCTTGTGTGGGATTTCTCCTTATGCCTGGCTCCTGAGTTAGTGGGGATGCTGTCTGCTCTGTGGTACAGAGTCCTGATGACTCCTAACTTGTGCTCCAAAGGGTGATGGGAGTCAAACTGCAAATACTGGTCTGTGTGGGTGGGTTTGCGGTACACCTCAGTTTGCAAATGTCCTCTATCAGAGACTGAGACCTCACAGTCCAAGAAAGCCAACCTGCCATTTTTTACATCTTCTCGAGTGAACTTGATGTATTTATCCACAGAGTTGATGTGGTCAGTAAAATGTTGGACTTCCTGAGATTTAATTTTAACCCAGGTGTAAACTTGTTTTGTTCTTGAGTCTTGGACTTGACATGCTTAGCACAGTAGAGTGGAGAAGAGGGGACCAAAACAGGGGCTATTTTTGTGAAAAATAATGACAGTGGAAAAGGGCCGAAATGAGCCGAACCGGGCTGAAGAGGAGCTGTGGAAAAGGCCCATGTGTGATGTAACAATGGGCTGAAGGCAGCATTACGATGCATAATCAGCAATAACCCCACATCATGGTGTCAACATTAAACCTTGGGTTAACGCTCACAAGTCTTATACTTCGTCAGCCACCGTTTCCCACCCAGTGAAGCTTGATTGGACAATTCCACAAATTTGATTCCAAGCCAAGAATTTGACATCTCTGTTCCCTACACCCAGCATCACGGCCACAGGTGTTGACGAGTTTGGCACCAAATCAGGGATTCTACGTTGTGCACAGTGGACCAACACAAGAGGTTTGCCAACTCACACAGATCCTCAGCCATTAGCTACCAGGTGGGTCAAAGGCTTTGACTTTTTACAAAGGACATCCATTAAAGGACACTATCAGTAAAGTGGCACCTAGATGTATCTGCCCATTCCCAGTGGAGAAAATTAGCAATCCCTCTATTGACCCTTTTGCATTGCCCCTAATAAGCCCCAACTCTGCTCAGCCCTGCACAGCCCTGCTCAGCTTGGCTCAGCTCAGCCTGGATTTGCACCTGCACTTTAGGACCGATTCTGGAGGTGTGTCCAGAATCCAATCCTGCTAGTGAGAGTTCTGCGATGAGTTTACTCAAAGCAGTCTGCTCCTCAGATAAATAATATTAAATTATTATTTTTTATATATGAATGTTTATGTTAACTTATTTTATACATGAATATTTCTGTTCAGTGCCCTGAGACAACTTCTGTTGTGACTTGGTGCTATATAAATAAACTGAACTTAATTAAATCTGATGAACCAGATTCTACAAAAACATTTATATTTAAATCTAAAAAAGTTAAGTCTGGTCCTCTGGACATTCAAAAAACAAAACAAAACAAAAAAAATGTAGAAACGTTTCAACCGAAAGACTTCTTCAGTCTGAGGTGCTGTATTCAGCTCATAGCTATTTATAAAAGACTGAGCTGAATACAGCACCTCAGACTGAAGAAGTCTTTCAGATGAAAGGAGAAACGTTTCTACTTTTTTGTTTTTGTTTGTTTGTTTTTGAATGTCCAGAGGACCAGACTTAACTTTTTTAGATTTTTCTACCTGGATTATTGAGCATGCATCAGGATATCTATATTTAAAATTCTATATTTTTCTTCATCATTTGTGTATTTGCACTCATTGTGGTTTTGTTTCTTGTATACAGTTTATTTTTCCTTGCATTCACGTTTCGGTCCGGACTCAGCTCGACTGAGCTCACTCAGTCCCAACAGAGAAGTAGGGATGAAAAGAGGTCCTGAATCAGCCTCAAATCAGCTAAAAATACTAGCTAAAGTGCTTGTGCAAAATGGTTCTTTCTGTGGCGGGCTGCCCAGAATTGGGGCTTATTAGGGGCAGTACAAAAGGGACATATGAGAATTCACCCCATGTTCCACATCTCACAGGTCAAACCCATATAAGGTTGTTTTCACACCTGATAGTCCGGTAGACTCGGTTCAGTTGGGGACCAATATTCATGACATTTTGTTTACATTTGAGCTGGTGCGTTTGCATTCACAATGCACTGTGCTTTTGAGTCAACCTGTTGAACCAATATATTCCCCCGCTCGCCTGTGGGGGCGCTGCACCAAGAACTACTGAAAGAAATCACACAAAAACCTCTGAAGACACGTCTTCTTCTTCTTCTGTAAATACAAATAAAAACGAAGTGGCATCAAGTTTTAGCAGTTTTAGGAGTTATATTTTGTCATTTTTCAAAAATGGACTTAGCATGAGCTGAAGATGAGACAGAAGACCATGGAGAGTATTGTTTTTCCACACAAGGCAGCTGACGGCTCCATACAAGGTAAGAGAAATGCGTGTTTGTTTGTCCTGCGGAGCGGGGTCCCGTCTGTTTACATTCACACTACTCGAACCGCGCTGGAGTTCTCTTCTACCGGACCGAGACCTAGGTTTAAGCCCGGGCCAGAGTTCGCCTTTTTGTTCTATGACAGAGTTTGATGGCGTGTTCACACCTCCCTAAATGAACCAGACTTTCTAGGAAAACGAACTAGAGTTCGATTAAAGTGGACTAAACAGGGCTGGTGTGAATGCACCCTAAGAAAGCCCGCTTTGCCATTCTGCCAATCACCCTCCTCTCCCTCGTCTCATCGACAACCGCCCAATATTTTCTGTCAGGGAAATTTAATATATTCTGAACGTTCACTGCAGGGGCAGGGGCTTTCAGTATTTAGTGAACTGTGAGGGCTACAGAGCCAAGGAGAGATCCTAGATCCCTAGAGTGTCTATTTTTAGATGCAAGTTTGATTTCATCGTTTTATAGTCCCCATCCAGAAAAGCAAATTAAATTGCAAAGAGGTGACTCTTGAGAGGGGAGTACTCTAGGAATAAGCATGTGTACATGCACAAACCACTCATTTCATCTTACTGAGTGGCAGAGTGGCTCTAACCACCTCAAGCTGTTCTTGATCCTGGCTGAGGAGATTTGGTATTTAAGTCCCTGTGTGTCAGCTTTTATTTTCTACTGAAATATTTCATGTCATTCTGGAATAGTGCATGAGCCCGAGTAGACTTAACTTACCTTGAGTAAACCTCATTGTGATCTTTCTCCTGTGCCTCTAGTTATCCGGGCTTCCTGATTACCCCTGTTGTAAGCAATGTCTGGATACTTTTCCTAAGGTCAAACGCCTGGTAATACCTTGTTGTCTTCTGGATGTTCCACCAATTATATCAAGCACAAAGAAAACACAGCTCATGAGTCTATCCTGCCATTCTCTCTTCACTTGTACTGCTTGTCTCCACTGTTGTTCACCTGTTAGCTCCTGGCAATCTTCTGATCCTCTCCTGACTATGCAAACAATGTTGCACCGTGATCCTGGGGAACACTGTTTTATTTAAATTTGTACTTGTATATAGCTGAAATGACAATACAACCTCTCTGACTCTGGCCTACAAATCCTAAAGAAACAAAGTAAGACTTGATTTTCCCAAAGAGATACCTTGACTATAACTCTTGTGGATTCACATATTCATTGATCCTATATTGCTACAGAACATCCCTGAGCTCATGTGGACCACTTCAGTTTAGTAAATAAAGCACTTTTCATGGAGTATAGTCTGGTCATTCCCAATTTGCTTACTCTGTGGTTTAAAAAAGCTACTATACTGATGTTAGGCTTATGATGTGTTCTATGGGAGGCTGGACACTAAAGAGAATGAGAAGGACTTGTATCGATTGGCAAGACAAGGGGATCAGATATGAAAGATAGGAATGGTAATGGTCTAACAAGTGTGGAGACTGTATATAAGATGGAAGAAGTACTTTGAGCAACTACTGAATGAAAAGAATGAAAGGGAAATAAAAGTAGAGGTCATATAAACTGTGGACCCAGAATCAGAATCAGAATACACTTTACATTGAATACACTGAATTCACACATACACTGAATTCCCATAATTTTACTGTATCCCATTACAATGATAATAAAGGGAATTATGGAAGTGGGAAAGGCTATTGAGGATGAAGTTTGAAAAGCTTTGAAAAGTATGAAGAAGGGGATAGCAGTTGGACCTGATGACACAGTACCAGTGTAGGTATGGAAATGTCTAGGAGAGCTGGCAATGAGGTTTTTGACTTAGTGATCCAATGGCATATTTGACAGTGAGACAATGCCTGCGTGATGGAGAAGAAGAGCGCTGGTGCCCAGTTTTAAGAACAAGGGTGATGTACAGAGTTTTAATGACAATAGGGGAACTAAGTTGATGAAACACACAATTAACATTTGGGAGAGAGTTGTGGAGGCTAGACTTAGATGGAATGTGACTATTTGTGAGCAGCAGCATGGTTTCATGCCAAGAAAGTGCACCACAGGTGCCACCTTTGCTTTGAAGATACTAGGGGTGTAACGGTATACGTGGGTGTATTGAACCGTTTGGGTACAGCATGTTTGATTCGGTCCACGTGCGTACCGTTTCAGTTATATTTTCATTAATTAAATTTTATTAACGAGAGATTATGCGCCGCGGAACTCAAATTCCTAAGCGTGTTTCAGCACAGCGCTATTATCTTGCAGCACGCGCAGCATTAGCTTCTCATTGCGGTCTCCTGTTTGGGAACATTATGGCTTTCTTGTTAAAAGACAAGTGAACAAATCCAAAGCTGTGTGTCGACGTTGTTTCATGGAGATTGGATGTGCAGCAGGCAACACGTCTAACTTGTTAACGCGTTTGAAACAACATCATCCGAACGTGAATGTCTCTTCTAGCAGCTTGGTGCAAAGACCGATAGCAGCAGCATTTAAACAACCTTTATCAGGTAATTCAGATCAGTCCAGAGCAAGAACACAAGCTGTAGGAGTTTTTAAAGCTCTGGATCTATGTCCGAATGTTGTTGATGCTGTAAAGTTCTTGAGCCCCGCTACGACATCATGTCAACACTTCAGCCAAAAAGTTGCAGCAGCACTTTATGAAAAAGCTAAAATTGATATTATCAACAAGCCCTGGAGCCCATATTAAAGAACTGCCCTCGTGATGAAAACGAGAGATTCAACCACCTCATAACATAAATTATGGCCATTCAAGAAGAGGTATTGTTATTTTATTATTATTATTATCTAATTAATTGTTAATTAATTGTTGGATTGTATGCCTGGATTATTGAGCATGGACCTTTTTGGTTTTGAGCCAGTTTGACATGACTGTCAACGAGGAAGAGGGCCGGCACAAGAGGAGGGGGCGTGCCAAAGACACCATCTTAGCACCATAATAACTGGTTTGTTCCACTTTGGAATAAGCTGTTTGGGGGAAGAATCAGTTTTGTGTTGTGTGTTTCCTTGACTGATGAAGCCTTCCGGGTGGAAGGTGAAACGTTTCAGCAACAAAAAAAAAAAAAAAAAGAAAAGAAACTGTCCAGATTACCTGACTGAAAATTGTTGGATTATCTAATTAACATTTTTTTATTTTTAATTATAATCTTATTAACTCTTTTTTTTTTATATATACCTCCAAGTTTTATTTTCAGTCTGGGACAGAGATAGCTGCAGAGTTTTCTTCCTCTTAGGGAAATCCACCAGAGATCACATCCAGCTAAGTCTGTGATGACTGAACTCTGAACTTTTCCAGGGACCTGTCCCACCTGTGGGAGCAGGTCCAAGAAGAAGTTGTGATTAATGATGAGGTCAAATACAGCCGCATTGCAAAATTAAGAAAGCTCTACCTCTCTATTCCTGCTACTGTTACAAGTGAGAGTTTTTCTCCACCGCTGGAGGTATTCACTGCAACTAGATCTGTGCTTTTGGCAGAAAATGTGGACAAGTTGGTCTTTTTGGCCAAAAACTTAAAAACTTGATTAGTTAGATTGTAAACAGTCTGTTGCTGCTTATTGTTCTGGTTCTGACTGTTATTGTATTTATTAAGATTTTGATTATTGTTAGTTTAGTTTATTTATTGTAAAGAGTGCCTTTTATTTAAAATATCATCCAAATGGGTTGCTTTTATTTATTTTTATACAAACATATTGTTTATTTGTCATATTTTCAAAATAAACATTTTGTAAGTCTTTATTTTGGCCTTTTTTAATACCGAAAATGAACCGAACCGAGCCCTCCTTGAAACTGAACTGAACCAAAATGTGATTTTAGAGTACAGGTACACCTCTAATACATACACACAACTTAAAAATAAATTCTCACCCATAACTAAAAACCATTTCAGAGTCTTACTGCCACCAGCTGGTGAGAGGTGGTGACGTCAATTTGAACCCCGTCCACTGGAACCGGTACTGAAAGCATAATGGAAACACAACGTGTACCGTACCGAGTAGAGTAGAGCCGTGCTGTACTGGTACTACAGGTACTAATGGAAAAGGGGCATAAGAGGGTTTGCTGGTGGAACAATGAGGCTACAAGAAGCACAGGACATAAAAGTGCAGGACTTTAAGTATGGACCGACAACATCAAATATGGGTGGAAAAGGAGAAACACCCACACCTGCCTCCTTCCTCATTTGTCCCACTCTGGGCCCTTGTGCAAGCCTCTTAACACCCCACCATCTGCTACCCCGGGAGCCCTAGCCCAACAGTTCTCACTTTAAAGTCCTTGTAACTCACTGACACTACCTGCATAAATAAATGTAAAAAAAATAATAATAATTTAAAAAAAAAAAAAAAAACTTGTGGCCAAGTGCTCAGGAAAATGGGGAGTTTTGTAAAAAGGTGAAAAAGAGCATCTAGGCAGGATGAAGTGGATGGGGAAGAGGTTCAGGAGTGATTTGTGACAAAAGGGTCACAGCAAAGGTCAAATGAATTTTTTACAAGAAAGAAGTGAGACTATGACAGAATGTAGCTACAGCTACATTCAACATAGACAGTTATGTTTTACGGTTTGGAGACAGTGGCATTGCCAAAAAGATAGGAGATGGAATAGGATGTTGCAGAGCTGAAGATGTGGTTCTTTTTGGAATAGACAAGGATGAATAAGATTATAGGAATAAGATCATCAGAGGTACAGCACATATTGAACATATAAAATTAGAGAGGAAAGAGGTAGTTGGTGTGAGAACAGATGATGCAGACGGGTGAAGACAGAATGAGATGGAGGAGGATGACTTTCTATAATGAACCCTGAAAAAGGAAAAGCCTACAGAACACAGCAAACATCAAAAATGAAGTAGAAACAAATGATGTCATTGTAACAGACTATGGAAACAAAGTGCATAAAGATTTTTTTTTTTAATTAAAAAAAAAAAAGATCTTGTCAGTTGGTATGTAAGGACATAACACTTGTTTATTTCTTAAGTTCAAGTGGGTTTTTCAGATATATATTTTTTTATATTTGGTGTAATGTCTAACAAAACAAAACAAAAACAAAAAAAAACTATAATTAAATTCCAAAATAGCATGGATTGAATATTAGTAACAGCTATAGGGAAAACTATAAAATTGAAAAAAAATAAATAAATAAAAAAGAACATCTAAAATCTTTTCAAGAGGACTGATGACACCATCCTAAAAAAGGCTTTGGAGTTTAAATGAAAATCTTGCTCAGCTCTCTGATGCTGTATCTTACAACACCATAGGAGGATATAACCTGACATTTGAAAAGATAAATTTTATCTGAAAGTGAAGTGAAACAAATTTGGCTTACAAAAGTTATTATTGTTCTTCATAAAAAAAAAGAACAAAAAAAAGAGTGGCTCTAAATTTCCTGGCAGTCAAGATAACCGTTTATTAAATCTTTCACTGTAGACACAATAGAGCAAACTAGAATTTACTGTTGA